TTCCTTCCTTCCTTCCTTCCTTCCTTCCTTCCTTCCTTCCTTCCTTCCTTCCTTCCTTCCTTCATTCATTCACTCACTCAATCACCCACCTCACTCATTCACTCACTAACTCTCACTAACACGACCCTGCAGCATACAAGAGGAGGGGGAAAAAACTTTCCACAACAAGCACAAAATAAGACCAAAAACTATAATACATTAAAGTCAACTAAAACATAAAATGGCAACTGGACAAAAATACAGTATATTGCAACTCATTCAATTGGGACTCAACTCAACCTAACTCAAATGAATAGGAGAAAAGACAGATCTTGACCACCTTTCTAAAGGTTTGCAAACCTGGGATCAACTATATATTTGGAACAGATTGTTCCAAATGTAGGATCACACTGAATTCCACAAATATATAGATTAATATATTAATCTTTTCTTTCTCAGCTACAGCCTTCAGAAAATCTCTTTGTTATCTGATTTCCATTCATATACCAAAGTAGTTTCAAAATAAGATAAATCTATTGTCCTATAACAATACAGACTAGGATGTTGGATATTGCAGCCTAATATATCTGGACTCCACCAAGTTTGGAAATACTGTTTTATAGTTAAAAATGTCCCCAATCCTTCTACATTTTGAGGTAGAGAATTTTCCCCTATGACAAGAGATATTAAGGCCTAGAGCTTCAGCACAGATGTATCGTACTAAATAGGATGAGGGGTCTTTGGTGCTCTCTGAGCTTGCTTGTTTTTTTACAGATGTTTCATTACCTAAACATCATCAATGTTAGTCCTGATGATGCTAACTAGTTGAGTTTAATTTATTGTCATTGCACCTTGTATAATGAAATTAAATAAAGAAAACAAGAAAATAAGCAAGCTCAGAGAGCACCAAAGACCCCTCATGTCAATCCTGAGCTGCAAATATTCTCCTTTATTAAGGTCAAACTATCCTATTCTGGGCACATTATGTGAAGATTTAGCTTTCTGGAGAAGGATCTAATGATGGGAAAGATGAAAGAGAAAGGACAACCAGCAGCAAGCTGGATGGACTTGGTTACAGTGGCAATAAATACACTATTGGACAATCAGCTGAAGGATCAGGTTAGAGATAGATAGGTATGGAGATTCAGAGATTCATCTCTTATCTAGCCTAACTTCTACTCAACTACTTTATCTGTGTAACGTAAAATTTCTGCTGCAGTTGAGAATTAGCAAATAATTTTAATAGAAAATTTTTAGATGGAGAGACATTTAGAACTACAAAAGCACTATAAATTAAAGATAATATTTTTAAAAACAGCTATGAATTCTAACAAACTGTTAAAACCATATGACATCCTATAGCCTAATTTGTGCTATAATGTCCTAACTCATAGGCAAAATGATCAGGCAAATGAGGTAGAGGTGAAAGAAGGTAATGATAGGATTTTGTAGCTTTGCCACTCAAATTGTATAAGATAATATTCTATACTCAATGATCTATCTCATTGTCCTGTAATGGACAAAGAGGCATGTTCACACTATACCCATTTTTATTGGAATCTAATATTAAATTTTACTACAATCTAATATTTAATTATTATTAAAATATTAGATACAGAATTCAATTTATTTATTTTTTATATTTTTTTATTCCACTTTTACAAGTAGTCCTCATAGTTATAACTGACCCTTGGATTATGATCTTAAGTCATTGTGCTTTTAAGTTGATGCATTATGTGATCACACCCAATTTTTTGACATATGTGGTCATTAAGTAAATCAATTTTCCCCAGTGAGCATTTTTTGCTGGAAACTGGAAGTAAATTTGAGAAACTATCAAAAAGCACCTCAAATTGCAGTCACATGTTCACAGTATCACAAATGGCTGTGTAAAGGTTGCCAAATGCCCAAATTACAATCATGTGTGTGTTTGTGTTTGTTTGTGTCTGTGCATGCACATGTAGATGCAATTGTCATAAGTGCACAAATGGGGCTTTTGGGGATCCATTGTAACTTTGGTCATTAAGTGACTGTTTGTAAGCTAAGGACTATCTATATTATTTTTATAAATAATTCAAGGTGGCAAACATACTAAATACTCATTCTTTCTGATATTTCCCTCACAAAAATAACACTGCGAGATTGGTTGGGCTGAGAGAGCATGACTGCCCCGCAGTCACCCAGCTAGGCTTGGAGCTAAAGTGGGATTAGAACTGCTGATATTTAGCCTGGTGCCTTAACTACTCTGCTAAACTGAAGCACTAAACCAAAATGGCTTTACAGTAACTGTAATTCTCAGACCACACATGTGCATGGGAACTTCTTCATTTTTGAACCTAGAAATAGCATTTCCACTTTGACATACTATGGCATAAACTTGAATTAATATTACTTTGGGGGCAATAATTTTAAATATTCTGACTTTTGAGTGTGCAAGTTCTCATTTATAATGTTGCCTTAATGTACCTAATGTCTTTCTGAAGGAGATTTAAGACATCATACAAGGAAATCAATAAAGGGAGCTGTTGAGTGTCACTGAGATATCAAGGAAAAAAAAATCTGTACTGAAACACTCACTTTCTGCAAATTGCTGGTTTTGGAGACCTTTCACTAGATCTTTATGCACCACGGCCTTAAAAAAAACATTGTTTAATTGGCACGGTACTAATAACCGAAGTTGTTCAGTAGCTAAATGTTTTGTCCTGGAAGCAAAATCTTTCTATAAAAATTAACATCTTGGAATAGGGTGGAATGTTGTTTTATTTTACTCATCACCTAGCTCTGTTCAGATCATGTTCCTGGATGCCAAATACTTTTTCATATTCCAAAAAACTATTCCAATGACTGTGATCTTTACTCAAAAAATTACTTCAAAAAGAATTTGACCATGGGACAGAAGTCATTTGCCAGTCTTTGTCCGAGCAGAAAACCTCATACATCCGATTCATGTGGCATTTTATTTTCAAGAATGCTTGCATTCATCTGTCCTCACTGAAATAAATCAGGTGGCATTTGAGGCCTATGTTAATTACTGCATTCCTTCTAGGACTTTTTAGCAGCAAATGTTTAAAAAATATTCTGATGTTCTGCACACCATCCATTCTCAATCCACAATGGACACAATGAATTAACAAAGATTACCATATTGGGAAAATATTTGTAATATTATAAAAAGACAAAATCAACATATTAAAGGCAAAAAAAGGATGTATCAATTAAGCAGGACTTTTAAATGAAGCTAATTATTTAATTCTGACCTTTTCCATTCAACAAATATTTAATTAAACAGTTAACCGTAGAAAAAAGTTAGAAAATCACATTAGCAAAATCAGTAATAAAATTAGGAAAATGCTTTCTCTTTCTTTTATGTTACAAGGTTCAGAAGTTTGCATTTCTTTACTATTGTTTTGACATGCAGTAACCATTTTAAATGAAAAAGCTTATTAATTTAAATTAGAGATGTATAAAATACAAATTTGTTGATTTATTTATTTAAAATTCAAAAGTTGTTAAATCGATGTTCACTCATGAAGGCTCAAATTAGTAAAAAAAATTGTGAACATAATTACAAGCAAATAATAGGTTATATTCACCACAATTGTAGCTTTCCAGAGTAATAGGATTTACTGTTATGAGAAAAGAATGCAAAAAAAGAATTATATTTCTATCAGAACAGACCAAAAGTTAGTGACTTGATACACTGACTTCCACAGTCCTATGAAAGCAATGTTCTAGAAACTAAATTGACATTAGATATTCTTTTAATTCCCCTCTCTCCAAGTAACAGTGACCTTCAAATTGAACAATCCCACTGACAATATTTTATATTAAAAACAATTAGTATGACAATATTAAGCAGCTTGCTCACCTCTTTTAAAAATTTCATAGCGAATGGAGAAGCCTGCTCCATGAGTTTCATAATCAGAGACAAACTTGATTAACAGGTATGGTCCTGTAGATATCACAGGTGGGGGAGCAATTTTGCCACAAAACTTTCCCCACACTCGCCCATTTGCACTGTCTCCATCAATCACTTCAACATAATCGTACCTGGTAGATAAATTAAAGGGGAAAAAAAACTTTTAACTTCCAGGGAAGAAAAAAAAGAAAACTAATTAATTTAAGAACCACAGCCATACAGCACAGATAATGAAGAATAATGCTAGCCTGTTTGGAAGCTGTATAATCCTAAAAGATATGTGCAAAATGAAAAAAAAAATTAAAATGGACTACATCATGTTGGTAGACATCATCTGGCGAGATGGAACTATTAGGAAGAATAGCACCATTATAGTTACAGACAATATCAGCTAAAGTAACCAATTAACAAGAAAAAGGAAAACTCGTGAGCACAATTCTGTATTATTAAATTGCATTCCTTTGTCTATCACGGCATTGTTATCAATACATAATACACTAAATTCTTTTCAAATGGTGGTGTTCTTGTCTGAATTCTAAAACATCATTTTGGCTTTAATTTCTGTACAATACTTGTATTCTGACATGCAATCCTGCTAGTGTATAGTCCACAGAATAATAAATGAAGTTTCAGATATTATGCTACCTTTATTGCTTTGCTTCTTTCTTAATTGTTACACATTTGTGTATTTTTAAACACCATATTATTTAAAATGACTATCGTAATATAAAAATGGATTTTGCATAAGGATTTAGCAGCTCTGTAGAAAGATTTGATTCTGTCTCCTACACACAAGCAAGACACATGTATAAAATAATAAAAAAGGAAATATGCAATAATGAAAATGAAACTCTGCTTCAGCTGCATGAGTATATTAATCCATTTTTTTTTAGTCTCAAAAGATTGTAAAATAACAGAGGCATATAAAACAGCATAAAAATATGGACTTGCTTCTGGCCAAGTCAACTTGTAGACCAATTAGTTTGAAATTGTCCATTCAGATTTAAGTTAGTTCCCGAAGTTGAGATTAAAAGATTATTTTCACAATTATCTAAGAATTTCATAATGGAAGATTATAAGTGAGAATTTATGTTACTAAAGATTAAAAACCCCAATTATTAATTAAAACTCATATAAACACAAACATGAAAAAAAATGATTACCAAATTTCTGAAACATTAATTGGACACAAAACCCTGAACAATAGCAACAAGTAGTGGCATTTATCTTGGCAGTCTTCAAAGGCTAAATCAGTCAGTCCTCATAAATCTTTGTATGGAATATTGCCAGAAAGCCCCAGAGATAGAGACTATAGATTGAAAACCTTAGAAAATAGAACATAAATGTCTTGAACCACAGAGACAAAACAAAAATAACCTAGTTCTGCATTGATAACAACAAACCCACAGAGATGTCCATGAAGATACCAGGACTTAAACCAGACTCCAGAGAAGTTAACCTAGTGTTTTTCAACCTTAGAAATTTGAAGTTATGTAGACTTGAACTCCAGAATTCCTTAGCTAGCAAGTTAAGATTGCTAAGGTTGAGAAACAGTGATCCAACGAGCTACATCTTAAAGACTGCTACTGTACTGTGGAATGTGAATTAATCCCTTTTCCTGATATTGCAATAATCCTCAGAACCACCAGGGTCTGGTCACCGTGATATAAAAAAGATGCTGCTAAAAAAGCACAGAGAAAAGCAACAAAAATAATAACATGCCCTAGGCTTTGCATCTGATACAGATAGATGATGGGAAAAGTAGACAAGAAGTACTTTTGATCATTACTCAATTGCTCCTCCCAGCAATTACTGATATAACAAGTAAAAGAAAGTAGTTTTGGAGCTCATGGGTTAGTTGGAATGCTTTTTGGATGAAAAAGAGATTTTGATCTGGAATTTTGAAGTTGGGAGAAACACTGGCCCTGTCAGACAAATGCAGTTCAGTGCTGAGAAAATAAGACCTTATACTTAGGCAAGAAAAACCCATCCACATATATAGAAAAACCAAACCACATCTAGGAGTCCTAATGGACAAACATTTAAGTAAGAGCCAGCAGTGTGGTGCAGTTGCCACAAAGGCCATCAACAGAGGAATAATATCTATTATGTGAAGTGATAGTAACGCTTTATACAAATGCTACCAACCTCTTTTCCATCGAGGACCTGTATACTGCTTGAGTCAAAAAGAGGGCTGTGAATATATTTATGGACCCCTCACATCCTGGACACAAACTGTTTCAACTCCTACCTTCAAAACGATGTTATAGATCACTGCACACCAGGACAACCAGACACAAGAACAGTTTTTCCCCAAACACCACCACTCTGCTAAACAAATATTCCCCTTAAAGTTAAATGATTTACTATGTCTGCATTACTATTACTATTCATCTTCTCATACTTCCTTTCACCCATCTCCTCCCACTTATGACTGCATTAATGTAACTTTGTTGCTTGTGTCCTTATTTTTTAAAATTGACTGTTTACTAGTATAATTTGATTTGATTTGATCACTTATTGTTGTTTCCTAGTATGATTCAATTGTTTATTGTACCATGACTATCATTAAGTGTTGTACCTTATGATTCTTGATGAATGTATCTTTTCTTTATATATAATGAGAGCATTTGCACCAAAACAAATTCCTTGTGTATCCAATCACACTTGGCCAATAAATAATTCTATTCTATTCTATTCTATTCTATTCTATTCTATTCTATTCTATTCTA